TGCCTGACGCGAGCTCAACTTAACAACATCAAGATTATATGATCTAACGAACTCACCGATCACCGCTGCCCGTAATCCGTGAGACACCACATCCTTTGCTGAGAAAAGTAAGATAATGGTGAAGGGCCGCGCCGCCCGCAACAGCTGCGAGCATCCCAGCAACAACGCGGTCATCGCACCCCTAGTTCTTGTGGCCTGTAATGCTTGTTGTATCATTCATGGGTTTCTTGGTTGTGTGCAAAACGTTGTTTCGCTACTCTGGGGCTTGTGCGCCTGCTCCGCGCTGACGATGCGACCTTGCTGCCAATGAGAAGGGTATGGTTAATGTCGCAAGAACATAACTTATGCAAGGACGTGTATGGCGTCGACGCATTGCCCGTTGACTGACACCGCCGACGTAGGCTGACGCAGCGCGGTGATGACGTGGAACAAGGAGGGATGTTCGGGTGCTTGTTACCATCGGCCGTGCCATCATTCGTTAATTTAGGGCAGACATTCCCGTACTTGAGCAAGTGAAGAGTATACCACCTTCGGACAGTACTTCAAGCTTCAAGCTTCAAGTGTCATAATCAAAATTTTGTGTACTATCTAGTTTCATTTACTAATGTTGTAAGCATATCTTTTATATACAAATCTAGTCTACGACGCAAGAAATTAGCCAGAGTTAGGTGGTGCATATGAGCAGCTGCTAAGTGCTATCAGGCTCTCCTGAGCCGAGCGCATGCACTAAGCAGTGAGCGCAGACGCGGTGGCTGGTAGTAGTAGATGCCCCTGCTACGTAGCAAGACGCTGTTTCCTGATGTCAGGCCACCCCACTCGACGTCATCCTCTTGACGGGTTCGTGGGCATATATGTTGAAACTTGGGCTCCTTGAACAACAGGAAGAGGCAGAGCAGATCAATGGTTGCACGCTGGTGAAGCTGCACGCGCGAGTCATAGGTGTAGTCACAGATTGTAAGTGACTGTAGGTCGAAGCGTTGGCGGATGCGCTTTTCAGGGCGCTTGTATATTACGCCGCGAAGCTCGAGAGCGAGGAATGCAGGGAAGAGGGGTAGGTAACACGGTAGCGCATGTTCGGAGTCGATCTCGCTCTTCTCCTTGTCGTGACTCCAGTGCAGTGTCGGGCTCTCTACGCATCTCTAAAGCATGAGTTCTGGGAAGATGGGCTCGTGCACAAAGTCCTGGAGGAAGAAGTTCGCAACCGAGCTCCCGCCGGAGGAGCTTGACCGCGAGCGAGACCGTGTAGAAGCCTGCGCGGAGGGTCATGTCTGCCCGTACCTTGCACACCGCGGGGGCGGCGAAGAGAGTGCACTGATGTGGTTGTAGACGTCGAAGGGCAAGTCGATTGGCAAGTGTCTTAGGAGACGATATGGATATATGCATCAAGGTAGTCCTGGTCTGAAAAATCTCAGGCAAAGTAGTTGCAATTGCGGGGTCATGCTGGCGGGACAATTGTCGTACCTTTCCAAAATAAGATGTCCGCCCTCGAGGTTGTTAGCTTGGGGGTGATTGCACGATACCACGGCTGGGGCGTTCTTGCCTGGTTGCCCGACGCTGTCGTCCTTGCGCAGCATGAAGCAGACAACGCAATAATATAATATAAAATTATCTCAAGCACAGGAAATTCATGAGCACATTACTTCACAGGTTGTCGAAAGGACTATCTATATCATCCATCGCACTCGCAAACTTCATGAAGAAGACGAAGGCAGTCTTTCTTGTCCAGCTGAGGGAATGCGCGCACAATGGGCACGTTCAAGCAGCTGTGATGCTGGAGAGTCCACGTTCTTTTCCACTGTATGCCTCCCCTCCACTGGACTTTGACAGACTCGACGAGACCATCATCTATGAGACGACTAAGCTCCGTGTCCGCTCGATATACAAATCGCTGGTGGTGTGAGAATACGCGCCGCACCTCGGCCATTATCTGGTCTCCGTCGTTGTTTCTAATGGATCGAGACAGTTCGAGCTGAAGCTCGATGTACTCGAGTGGGGGGACACTGTCGGGACGCTTGCGCAGCGCCACGAAGAAGGTAGCAAGGGTACTCCAGGGCTCGTCTTTCAAGAAACTTAGCTCTTCGGTATCGTCTTGGTGATCAGCAAGCTCAACGACAACCGTGAGCCGACACAGGACAGACAAGTTCGCCAGCTTGACATTTGGGAGCATGTACTGTTTGTCCTCTGCATAGCGAGTTGTTGTTAGTATGACAACAATATGGCAATAATACGAGGATACATACTTACGTAGTCCACGAACTTCAGGGTACACTTGAGGTGCTCCAATGTCGCCGCACAGGCGTTCACCACACGGGGCTAATTAGTTGATATTTTCAGCTGAAAGAGGCACGAAAATCGTTATGAGAATAGAAGCTAAAAAGACCGAACACTTTCTGATAAAAACATACGATAGGTAAAACCTGGAAATAGGAGCCAAACAATAAAACTTTTTT